TTTCATTTACTTCGTTTTTTTTTCTTTCCTTGTCTACATAGTCAGAAAAGCCAAGGCTTTGTACCAAACAAATAAGTACTGAATAAGGTTGGATGTGTTGACGGAGGGCTAGTTTTTAAAAATACTATCGAATTTATGATTGCGCAATCACAAATAGATTTATAATTTATTTTTGAATTTTTTAGAAGTAAGGATAAATACAGGATCTACTTAGTATTATGTTGAGTTATTTCGGGTGGTTTCGGACGCCTTTCGTAATAACTTATTTTTTTTATTTATGATGCTTTGTGTAACCCAATATAATATTCTAAAAAGGTCATATGAAGCCATCATTTTGATATTGTTAAAAAAATGTTTATAAAATATTTATTGTTTTAAAAATAAAAATAAACAGGTATGTCTTTATTGAAATATAATTAATTTATATATGAGTAGCTCTCTTCTTTAATCAAAACACAAATGCATTACTTTCAGATCGCATCAAAGCATACATCGATAAATAATCGAAAGGTATATGTTCAATACGTCCTTACTTCAATCAGACCACTAGCGGATCCAGGATTTAATTTTTTGGGGGGGGCTTCGTCCCGAAAGATTTTTTTTCATATAGATATAACGATAATTAATTTGAAAAAAAAATAAAGAAATTAATTACCTATATGGAATGGTGTTTAAGTGGTTCTTGAAGTCCTATTAAATATAATTACACGAACAAGAATACTTTAAGAGATAGTTTTTAATATTTTTTTCTGTAAAACATGGTTATATTTTACCATTTTGGGGGAAGGGGCTTCAGCCCGAAAGCCCTCCTTCGTAGATCCGCCTGTGACTCAGACCAATAAAAGATGATTATTGGGGCAGTGACTCGTGACTCAGAGCGCGGTCACTCGAGAACAGCCCGCTATAGATAACCTGGCAGCCTCTGCTGACCTTATCACCAAAATAATCTGATAATTGATGCCAGGTTTCTCATTGAGGTCCCAGCGCTGCCCAATCATATCCATCATCACGGTCCCTATCAAAATCCCATAATATGCTCCATAATATCCACTATAACGGTCTCTATGGTGTCTGTCCTGCTTCTAGTCGAAGGTCCACGGCCACACAGAAATAGGTGGCCTAGCTGAAATATTTGGCAGCCATCTTATGGCCGAGTTCTATTTCAACTGAAACTAATCAATGGAAAAATTCGATTTATGACTTGAGAGATTTAGGTATCGTTGGATGAATGGAAGATGGGAAAGGCAGTGTGTGTAGTACATTGCCATAGGATCATTTTCTATCAAGTCAAATCAACGTGGAATAAATAAGCATCCTTGATATTATTTCTCAAAGGCGTTTTTTTTTTTGTCGAACCGCCATAACTTCATCAAATACAATTATTGCGCCATACTGAAACAGTATTTACCTGATCATGGACAATGCATGTTTTAATTAAAACTATATTAGGACAGTAAACGGTATTACTTAATAAGAAGTATAATTCAATTAGGAGATAACTGGGCGCTAAAGGAAGAGGTAATTTTCAAGAAATACAATATAATAAGAAAATGAAGAAATTTACTCTTGAAGTTGATCTACAACTCCTCCAAATCTTCAACCTTATTTGAAAATAACTCAAAAAGTAAACATCTTTTTCGTCTATCCATGATTATTTGAAATATTACTAAATTCCTAAGAAAACAAAAAAAAAAGTTGTTTAAAGGAGAAACAGAGTTGAGATTTGTGTTTCGCATTTCAAAAAAACATCAAATACGAATTTCCATAGATATAAAAATAAATCTTCAAATTTTCACTACAAACTTGGATTTTTTTTTCGAAAATCATAAAAAGTGTGATAACTTCAATATGATTCCACCTACCAACAAAAAAAAAAAAAAAAAAAAAAAAAAAAATATATATATATATATATATATATAAAATATAATTAAATATAGATATATAAAATAAAAACGCGTGAGGGGTTTTGAATATTTATTTCTCATGGAGACGTTAAATCTAAAATTTATGTGGTTTTGAAGAGCCAATTACATACAAAAAAATATATATTGAAATCGAATCATTATCAACAACTATACAGCCTACAGCAATGTACATACATTTTTTTTTTTTTTGTCTTTACATCTTCATCCGCACCTGTCATGGTAGTGACAATTAGCAGATTTGCTGTTAAGTTGAAAATGACATGATAGGCATGACATAAATTTTGGATTATTATTTTGAATCAACGAGGGTAAACGCACCACTGATGAACATAGCTAAGGGAATTTTTGTCTTTTTTGGTTTATCCTGCAGTAATTATTATAGTTATAAACTTCTTCGTTGGACATATAGAATTTCTAGGATCTCCTATTTTCTATTTAACATTTTAAAATTGAAAAAAAATATTTAGTTATGCTGGTATAATCAGCATAAAAAAAAAACACCTTTTTGAACTAGTGATGGAAACCCCGAAATTCAATTGTTCTAATAATGGATAGGGGGTCGGTACCAGTAATGGACATACCTTATAGAAAAATTCTTATTATTAATTTTATTTACGATATTTACAACTGTATTAATATAAATACATCAAGCAAATGTGTACACAGAAATATAATTACATGAAAACGGTTGTTGAGAAACTACCCACTGGCAGCACTCTAATAATATGCTTACAAAAGAAGATCACACGGCCATCTTCTTTTCAGACGGCTCGGAGAATTATCAGGAATTGAACAGGAAGCAAGGTTAGAAACAAGAGGATTCGGATAGTTATGAAGTTTACTATGGAATGATGGTTATTTGGATTGGACTGAATCAGAAACATATGGAACATTAAGGTATTTATGGATTATTTTATTTGTGATAAAGTAAAGAGCATTAATGATTTTACGAATTTTGGATTGTAGGGATTGGATAAGAGAGGAATTCGGTGGTTTAGTGGAGCCCCATGGCTCAGAAAAATTCTAAAATTATTTATTTAACTATTAAGATTACGATTAACATAAGATAAGATAAATAATCAACTTACTCTTTGCAAAACTGTTAGTAGGGAGGTATGACTTCTTCTTAATTTTTTAGTGTTTTAAAAATTCCCTGACTTTTTCCAGGTTTTCCAGGTCGGTCCCCACCCTGTTTTAGTATTTTTGGATTGTTTATGTAAATGTTTTTGATCCTTATCGACCATTTTAGAAATCTAGTTAAGATATTTTAAGACCCTGGGGCCCCTAAAGGACCATTCACTATCGGGAGCTTAGGTTCTCTTACCGCTTAATCTGCCCTTGCTAGGTGGGTGTGAAACATGGTGACTGCAGTAGATAGCAAGATTTCTTAATGATATTTACAACTGTATTAAAGAAATACACTTAGTAAATTTGAACATATAGAAATAATGACGTGAAAATACTTGTTGAGAAACTACCCAATGGTAGCACTCTAATAATATGTCTACATTATGAGATCACGGGGCCATCTTCTCTTCAGACGCCTCGGACGGTTATCAGAAATTGAAGAGGAAGTAAGGTTAGAAACGAGAGGGTTGGGATGACTCTGAAGTTTATTATGGAAGGATAGGTACTTGGATTGGGCCTGATCTGAAACAAAAAAATCTGGTGCGCGCAACACACAACTTTCACTTACTCTTTGAACTTTGAATAAAAATTATTTTCTGACCATGTTAGGCTATTATAAAATGTTTTAAATTGCATTTTAAACTGAGCTAAAGCTAAAAAAACACAAATGCTATTAAAATAACAAAAGTCCTATTTATTATATCACCGGTTGATTATGGATTGTACGATTCGTTGATTATGGATTGTCCGATCCATTGATTATAGATTGTACAACTATAAGTCATTAAACTGTTATTTTCCATTGCAAAGTTTATTAAAACGGAATTAAGAGATTTGCAGTGTCTGTCATAGACATTTCAAAAGTTGTCACACTAATTGTAAGTGGATTCTGTTGGAATATCGCAAAAAGAAAAATGATCAAACTATTCACTAATTTAATTTTCTAAAACGTTACATGATGATTTTTCGGAATAAACGGACGATAGATATCTAAATATTTAAATATATTATGAGATCTAGAGTTATTAAACTACAGTAAATATATTTAGGGTTATAAACGTATCTATGAAATATTTTTGTATTTAACTTATTTTTTCACACAAGTACAATGAAATGGTAGTGGAATATCACAAAGGGAAGATCTATCGAATTATTCACTAATTTAGTTTTCTAAAAAGCTATATGACAATATTTTGGAATTAACTTTAATACCTAATTATTTATAGAGAAATACTTTATTAAAAGTAATGCTGCCTTACTACATAGGGTTGCTTCGTACACAGCATACTTATCAATCCATACGGACATTAATTTTATATTATATTTTTCTTTTTTTTTTCTTCCCCTTCATAACAATACTCTTACAAATTATCAACAATAAACCATATTAAACAACAGACATAGCATAGTAAACACTTTCCCAAAATAAAAATAAAATAATTTTTTCTCTTTAAATTCTCAAACGCCAGGAACGCGATAATTGATGGTTTTATTTGTAACAAAGTAGACAGCATTGAGGATTTTACGAAGGATTGTAGGGATTGGATACGAGAGGAATTCGATGGTGTAGTGGAGCCCCATTGCTCAGAAAAATTCTAAAATTAATTATTTAACTATAAACATAACGATAAACATAAGATATCATAAATTTTCAACTTTGCAAGACTGTTCGTAGGAGGGTATGAAACACACTCATCTCAAGAGCACTATGTAAGCAACGATGATATGCATTTTAAAATTTTCTTTTGGGGACTCATACAGCTGCCAATAGAGGGTATTGTTTTCAATCTAGAAAAAAAACTGTAACTTTTAAATAAACAAGAAAGCTTATTATTTATATTTAAAGTCCAATCTGTTCATCACTGGTGTGTTTTCCCTACTTTGATATCGAATCTGAGCAAATATTTAATCATACTCCAGTATTTTTAGTAAAATCAGTTCTACTCTTAGTTACAGATCTTTAAGATTTAATAAAATACTAAAAGATGGCCTTCTGAAGCGTTGAAGCGGAAGATTCATAAGTGTAGGATATGACTCAGTTTTTGCTGAATTGTTTGGCGTTATTTCGTCCATCTGATCGTCCTTGGCGAATTTACGTAAGTTTGTCGTTGCAAGCTCGAATATTTGTTTAACTTTCTGGTAATTTACCAATTTTCGTAATTATGGAATTGCAGATAAAGAGGTGGGAGGTGGGAGGACGATGGTATATTAATGGATTCAGACGAGTGTATGACAGTCAGAAATGGAATTCACAAGTATCATATTGACTACACTCACAGTAGTATGGTCTGTGCACAGTTTGAAGTTGGACCCTTTGGGTAATGTTTCAAATATAATACTTCATTATAAGTTATATTCATTATTATCGTCGAAATTGAATTATTGGATATGGTTTATGTATTAACATGGTTTATGAATATTTTACTAGGTTTATGGAAAATATAGCATCAATCTAAATCTTAAAAAAAAATAGAGCATTTCGTGTCGTATCAATTTTTTCCTAAGATGATTGGTTACAAAAATGTTTAAATTAAAATACACTCTACCTATTGTAAACTACATATTCAATTAACTTTCGCACTTAATTATTAGAAGTGTATTTAAAAAATTATAATCATTCATTTCATCATTCCTTTTTAATATTCAAGCTCCGTTTATGGATACACAACAACTTATGTCATTTTTTGTTATGGTTTTATATTTATATTTTGGTTTTACATTATATTTTATTGAACATATTGTTGTTTTTAAGTAATTCAATCATATTCCGTACGTTTATGGTGCTGTCTCTTTCATATAGTGGTTAAATGTGTAAAGGTGTAGTTAAATGTGGCTATTGATTAGCTGAACGTTGCAGATACTGCATTAATGGGTATTTTTAAAAAATCAGAAATCGGTGATTAAGGCGCGTGTAGCCGATTCTCAGTCTTGTGGTGACATATTACTTGTGGCCAAGTAAAAATAATTTCTTTTCCCGTGTAAAAGGTAACTGGCGGTCTTTTAACGTTTTAGGGCGCTAAGTAACTAATTGAAATCTAAGGGGTTGGTTGCTTTACATCGCTTAAATTATATTTTCGATGTTTCGATTATATTGATATTTATTTATCGTTTCACAAACCGTTGTGAGTCAAGCAGATGGTTTATTCTACTGCAAGATTGTTAACGATGAGACTTATGTCTTGCCAATGTTAACCTCCCCTTCTTCGTTTTACGAGATGTTGATTGGCCAGTTTCTGGTCGGTTGTTTTGATGTTATAGGCGCAAAAAATCTAGATCATCAGCGCCTTATTCATTAAATATTTAGTTGGTAGGTTTAATAGAAAAAAATAAAATAAAAAAAAGAGTAATACTAATAAAAAATAAAATAAGGAGGAAAAAGGTAAATATAAATTATTATTATAGCTCTGTCTATAAATTTACTCTTGTTAGAAATGTTATTATTTTGTCAGTTCTATTGCTGTCGTTTCCTAAGGCTGGTGATATATTTTGTGATATTTCTATGTCATTTAATTTACGACTATAAAATGAGCCATCTTGAAAAATGTGAGTTATGGACAGGACACTATTGCTATACTGGCATTTAGTTGGTGCAACTTTAGTGAAGAGGTGGAGGTGGGTCAGTCTTGAGTGTCCGATCTTCAGCCGGGCAAGGACGACTTCCTCTCTGGGACTAGAAAAGCTCCTAGGTCTGACATCTTTAGTTATTAGTTTCAGTTTGGTTGGAGATCTCTTATCCCATACGTCCTGCCATTGCTTTTGGATACTCTCTTTAAGCGAATTGGCCAGTTTCTGTAAGCAGCTTTATATTGGTCTTTCTATTCAATGCGTTGATACTCTGATCTCAGATCCATTCTGTTATAGTGCGGAGTATTTTTCTCTCATTTTTTTAATATTTATTTTTAGAGTGCCGCGTTTCGCAGGCGTATATCAGAGTTTATCGTAGCATTGTATACCATAATTTATGATTATTCGAAATTTAAATAGAGAAGAAAGCTATATTTGCGCTTCTTATACGCTGGTCTATTTCTGACAGTTGAACTGCCTGATAATCTGACAGTTTTTGAATTTTTCTACTCTCAACGATTTATCTTCAACGCAGATTCTGTAACTTGGGTGGGATTTCTAACTTATTATCACAAATTTTGGTTTTTCTTCATTTCCATGTATGCCGATTCGCTTTGCTTCTCGTTTGGGAGTCCTAAGGAATTTCTTAATGTCCTCTTGGTTACTCCAAGCACAGCTATATCATTATCTTATCCAAGGATTTTATGATTCATTCCAACGTGCATCCCTCTACTTTCATGTGAAGTTAAACAACGTCGGTGAGAACCCATTATGTATAGTCGGTAGATTTTGAAAATTTTATTTTAACTTACGAAAGAATTATATAAAAAGTTAAGTTGAACAAACATTTCTATGTCATTGTAACAGAAACAAAATATAATATAGTTGTATAGTTATATAGTGTTATTAACAGGCCGTTATATCGAAGGACTGCAGCCCGGAAATGACGTTCCTCATCCAATGGACGTAAGTAGCTCAAGACACGTGAGGGAAGCAGAAAAACCTAGACATCACCGTAGCCATGGAGGATTTATTGCATTTGAGGTGATGCTATTTCTAATAATATTATATATCGAACTGTATATACAGCTTTTGTCATTACAGTCAAAGTTACGAGTAATTGTTAACATTTTTACAGTACTGTTGCGGCGGCGAAAACAACACTGAATTTAAAAAAGATACAGAGGAACCAATTGAAGCATTGCAAAAATGCGTAGATGAACTAAAAGAAGAGGACGAGTGGACTATGTATGGTAGGTCATTTTAAACAGAATAGATTACTTTCATTTTTAATTCCAATAAGTATATGAGAACATAAACATAATACTTTAAAAAAACAAAAACATATGTACAAAGCCGATTACTCTTTTTCACTGTTCACTGATACATTCTTTATCGGAACGATTTTATTTTGTTCGAAATTTCAAGTGATTATATATCATTATATATCGATTGTGGATGAATCGATACATAACAATATATAATCGAATGATAAAATAATTTATTCTGGGACTAGAGATCCCTAAGAATACTAACAGAGTAACGTAATTAAGAGCATTATTCTAGCTTAGATGAAAAGAAATTTATGCCTAATAAACTGTTGATTGTTATTATAATTGTGCAGTTTATTGAATTATATAGTGTACAGACGCAAGTAAATTTTACATGTTTGCGGAAGTTTGAATGTGGAGTAGGTGGTGGAACAGGAGTTATTTGAAGAAATTTGTGGACGAAGATTGACGTATGGCTTGGTAGAGAGTTCCAAAAGTAGGTAGCACGAACCAAGAAGGATTTGCGTGGGTTTTTGGTTCCCAGGACTTGGAAAAGGAAAAACCAAGGAGGAATTGTCGTCCTGAATTAGGATAAAGCCACTTCAACTCGGTGTACCTGAATAAAACATAGGAACGCTTGTGGATCCCAAAGACTTATCTTATGAAACAGTTCATGAGCTTCTTTAATCTCATTTCTAGCCTGGCAGATAGCCCTCCATACACTAAGCAGCCTTTGTCGAAGTGGGGTTATAAGGGAGGTTTCAAGGAGCTGTCTGGTTTTTAGAGGAATACAATCACGGATTCTAAGAAATTGTTTAAGGACAGTTATGGATTTTCGGGTGATCTGGGAGATACGGTTATTCCAGGCGAGGTTCTGGTCAAAGGTTAATCCTAGATTTTTGACTGTAGGGAAAAAATGAATGAGACGGTTATTGAGGTAAAGAAGAGGAAAGTAGGGAAGGGAACTAATGAGGTGTCTGAACCCGCTGAGAATAGCCCTAGTTTTATCTGCATTCAGCTTTAACTCATTTATTTCAGCCCATTTGCTGATGCAGTCGATATCCTCTTGTGGCTTTCGGACAGCCTCAGGTATCTCAGAAGTTTGGAATGATAGTTTTTTATTTTATTTTAATGAAATTTACAACTATATTACATGGAAGTAAATGTGACATTGGTAACATGACATGTACAACATGAAGAGAAACTACTTATTAGTAGAACTCAAATTAAAGTTCTATATTAGAAGGTCCCGAGGCCATCTTCTTTTCAGACGCCTCGGAGGGTTATCAGGGATCGAGGAGGAAGCAAGTTTTGAAACGAGAGGATTCAGATGGTTCTGCAGTTTGTTATGGAAGGATAGGTAACTGGATTGGGCCAAATCGGAAACATATGGAACATTAAGGTCTTTATGGATGATTTTATTTTGTGACAAAGTAAGGAGCGTTGAGGATTTTACGAAGGATTTTGGATTGTAGGGATTGAATACGAGAGGAATTCGATGGTTTACTGGAGCCTCAAAGCTAAAGTCCGCAAGTCCAAATATGTCTTATTATTTCATATGTATTAGTCGTTTGTAATTGATTGAAAGCTCAGAGCGTTTGTCTAGTAAGTGCTGCAGTAGTCGAAAACGTCGGGCGGTTTTTCTAGTCGTTTCTGTCTGGTATGGGGATGGAATGATTGTTTGATTGCAAATTTGAATAGCGTGGTGGTAATAATTGGTGGTTGAATAACTAAAAATAAACAGAACCAGCTAACTGCAGAAAAAATTAAATATTTCCAAGACAGATTTTTGCAGCTAAACGTCGGATAGACACTTGAGAAGGGTGTACTCCTTTAAAATAAGAGCGTATTAAAAATAAAACTTTGCATATTTCAGAAGATCAAAGGACTCTTCTAAATTTCATATCCGCTTACATCAAAACTTCAAAAAATAGGAAAGGCCGAAAATGAAGAGAAAACAAAATTGAGATGGGAATAGTTTAGGATGGAACAAGAAAGTCTAAAGGAAGTCGGCGAAGAGTTCTCGAAGGCAGGTTGTCCAGAGACAGTGCTCGTTAGAGAAGTTGGAAGCAGTATTGCAGCTAAACAAGAAAGGAAAGAAAGAAGATAAGCAAGAAAGGAAGAACTACATCGCTGGGAAGACAGGAGACAAACAAGAAGATACAGCGAAAGGACATTATCGGCACCAAGGATACGAAGGAGGCAGTAGCTGAAGACTCCACCCTATTTCTAAAAATGGCTAAGCGGTAATATCCATTAAAAAAATTCTTATGGAAATCTGTGTTGGCGATCTCTAAGCAGTAAGGTAATCATGCCCACATCAACATCCTCAATATATTCACTCTCAATATTTTTCATGTGAAAGTCACAAACAGACCTCTCTCTAATGTTTAGTATTTTCCCTGTATGTTATTATCCACCTTCTTGATAGGTACAAATAGCAAATTGGTAACACGATACCCTTGGGAAGGATATGTAATAGTACCTATAATTCGATATAGTATATTGCAGCGCGGGTTCTGTGTTATCTAGCCTTGATTATTCATATAACATACGTAATTAGTATATTTTTAAATTGAGCGATAGAAATTGATATATTATTTAATATATAACACTAGCGGATCCAGGATTTAATTTTTTTGAGGGAGGGAGAGGGTTCAGCCCGAAAGAGTTTTTTTTTTTTTTAAATATTACAATAATTACTTTGGAAAAGAAGGAAAAACACTAACTACCAATACCAAAAGGTGTTTAAGTGATTCTTGAATGTAATGACACAAACAATAATACTTTTAGAGTAATTTTTAAATTTTTTTTCTTAAGACAAAGTAATATTTTAGATCCGCCTGTGATTAGAAATATATTAAATACACAAAAAATCTGTTTCTGGAATCCCGTACCTACTTTAAGAAAGCGGATATCCGGAAAAATAGCAACGTAATCTACATTCAATGTTGACTTCTTGAGTTGTGCAGAAAATAATTATTATTTTTATAATTTATAAACTTTATAATCTTATTCTTTTTGTGTGTAAATCAACATTTTATTTTTTACTTTTTACATATAGCCTTCATGCCATTGTACTTATTCCAGGAAACCCGACAAAAGATCCTTTCTCTTGTGAGACTTCCAAAAAGTTCAAGGACCAATTTAATGTAAATAATTTTTATTATTAAAAAATATGAATTTAATTCCGGAAAGAACATCTAATATTTCATGTCTATATTTTCTATTCTAGTGTTTCTTCAATTGTATGATGAGAGTACGTGGATTGGTAAGTCATTACTTAATTTTATCTTAGATATAAGACCTTTTACTAATCCTTCCTAAATCTTTTATATCGTTACTCAAGATTCTTTTTAAGTGTAAAATATATAGTGACTCACAGTGAAATTGATCCACCCGTAGAGAGAAAAAAAAGGCTTAAATGGCTACATTAAACAAAGAAAACCAGAAACTCCTAAACAGATTTATTTATAAACTCAATTTGAATATGCAAAAACTTAAGAAAATTAAAATAGTCAACTGTGATTATTTAAAAAACATTAATAAAAACAACTGAATAATTTTACCTCAGAGTCAAAATGATACACATCACTTTTTATTAACATTTAAATAAATCTAGTAAAATACTTCTTAGGCAGGCAAGCCGTTATTTGCTATCTTTCCTTTCAGTCTGTTAGTAATAGAGTCGAACAATTTTTGAAGAATTCTGGATTAGTCTGTTCCACTCTCCAAGGAGATATTTTTTTAACTCTTCTTTGCTAGAAATTTCTTGTTTTCTTATTTCTACCTCAAATTTTGCCCACAGGTGTTCTATCCCATAAAGACCTGGTAAGTGTGGTGGAGTTTTTATAACTTTAAGACAGCCACAAAGTAACCATCCTTTAACTAACATGGCCAGTATTTGAAATCATTATCCAAATAAAAACTGAATTTGTTTTTTAGCCCAAATTTTCCGCAAATTCTTCGCAAAAATTTCTTCTCAAAATGTCTATGTAAACATAATATATATAATATAAATATGACCATTTATCTGTTTAATAATTTCTATCAATATCCAAATGTCCCAGCCCCTCAAGATATTTTATTCCTCTCTTCTTCTTAAAAACAGTGCAGTAGAATCTGAATATTCGTAGATTATATAGCATTACGGATCCAGTGGTCTGTTCCACATCCACTTTTGATTTGAAACTTTTCATTTTGAAAATTCATAACCCCGTCGAAATTTGTTCCCCTCAGAAATTGATAACCCCATCAAAAAGTGCCCCCTCATCAATTTCGATGGCGCAACTTGCATCATAAAACCCCCTTATGGGCACCTCTGGTTCTCTATAAAATTAATTTATTTTGTGATAAACAGTTTCATTATAATTTTACATTTTATTTTCATTGGGATCATTTTTTTATTATTATTAAAAAGGATAATATTTGGACATATATTTAATTAATAATCACGTTAGAATCGAAGCCATTTTATTAGAAACCACAATGATTATGCGTCGGCAATCATCACTTCTATAGAGGGTTGCTATTAACTCGGATAAAAAAATAAAGTGGTGAAAGATAATAGAGAGTGAGAAAAATAATATTATTTAACTTTAAATTACAGTTTCCATTTTTAAGGTATTTAGTTTGTAACAAAATAATTAACTAATTAGTTGACCCATGCAAATGATTCGCAAAGAATATTGGTCATAGAAGAAATGAGAAAATAATAACTAATATATAAATATATGTATATATATATATATATATATATATATATATATATATGTATATATATATTTATATATATATATTAATAATATTTTAGTATTAATATATATTATATAATACAAGGAAATTTAATAATTCAGCATAAGATGAAGAAATCATTTCCTGTTTATTTCAGCAATTGTAATCGCCTAAGAAAAAGAAAAATATTACAAAACTTCATGGTTGTTCTAAACCAAAATATTTAGGAATAACGATAACAACCAATTCACTTTCTGTTGACTTTTTTGAATATTTTTCTCTATCATTAATTCAAAGTTACTATAATCGTTGGGATGGTGAATTATTGCTCTTAAAAATGCAAATAAATTTAAGATTTAACGCCTCCATGAAAGAATAAATAAACAAAAACCCATCACACGTATTTATTTTATATATCCTATTCTATTACGTTTAGACTTATTATTTTATTATATTTTCTACTCATGTTTAAGCTGCGAGAGGATGGTACAGACGACATTGAGAAATGGGAAGTCTTCGTTAGTGAGCGCTTGGCATTTCCATGGCTCAAAGAGCTTGCCCTCGTTGCTTTAAATAAATGTATCGACAACAAAGGTAATTTTGCTACTTTTAAATTTGTTTTTACGTTGTTGATGTCATATTTATTTTTCATTAATAAATTTGGAAATACTTTAAAATTAGTGCAATAATTATACAGAAAAACTAATATAATTTTTGTAGATTACAGCTGGATCCAAAATGGAGATAAGCTGAAATGCAATCCACGAGCATTGGATATCAACCACTGCCTTTGGAAAGAAATCGTTGTGGTAATAGTTTTCTTCTTTTTTTTTTCTTTCATAAATTCATTTTAATGTATCGATGTGATAAAATAAATAAGTTACTGTATCGATACCGCCATTTTATTTTCTTCTGTTTGTTATAATTTTATAATATCCTTAGCTGGATTTATTTTTTTAAAGCTAAGTTTTTATATTTATTGCTTACAGCTACTGGTGAAGTAAAAATTTGTTATAATTTATGGATATAGAGAAAACTTCAGTAAGCACTGAAATAAAAAGTATTTCAAAAACAGCTGGAAATTATTTTTACGAAAAGTTCTAAAAATAATTGCTCTTACTAAAACGAATATTTGTCGACTGATAGACAGAGAGAGGAATAGTGGAGGCGAACTGTTAACAAGAGAGCGACACCTAAACTGTGAAATCTTCATTCAGGGACGGTTCACAGAGTCTAGCCGAGTTTGCGTTTACCAAACGCATCTCGGAAAACATGAAATGGGAAGGAGGGCTGGAACATGGACTGACTAGCGGAGTATCTATGGAAAAAGAAGAGAGCAGAAATGGAGATCAAACTGTAAGTAACGTAGTTGAAAACCAAATATCACGCCACCCAACCTATGCTCAGATAATGAACACCCAAAAACCGTCGAACCGCGAATATGCAATTGTGCTCCAAACACACAAAGGCATAAAACAAAAACAGTATGTGGAAAAAATATCAGACCTTGTAGAACCTCAAGCCATAAAGTTCGCGTCACGCATATCAAATAACAGATTTTGTATACACTTATCTAATAAAGAACAAGTAGATAAACTTTTATCAAAACACAAAATCGTTACGATAGAAGGACACTCAATCCCAATCCGACGCTTAATAAATCCAGCAAAACGAATAATAATTTCAAATGCTTGTCCCAGCATTCCAAACGGCTTAATAGAAAATGAACTAAAAAAATTAGGGATTAGAGTACTTTCCCCCATTTCATTTTTAAGTGCAGGCTACCGAGATTCCAAGACTAGTCATATAAAGAGCTTTAAACGTTATGCATATATAAACCCCGAGGATATGCATAATGTTACTTCATCGCTTGTTATCCAAAATGAAGGTATCTCCCACCGTATTTATCTAGCAGAAGATCTCTTAATCTGCTATGTTTGCAGAAAACCTGGGCATTTCGCAGCAAATTGTCCAGAATCAGAGGCAGTTGATGAAGTACAAAACCCACTCATCCCACAGCACAGAACTTCAGACACAGATAATGAAAAACTAAACCCACTCACCAACCAATCCATAGCTACAGACACTATTTCTGAAGATCAAAACTCAATGGTCACTCAAACTGTAACTTCAAAGGCAATCTCTGAAGAACGAAATGTAATCAGCAATCTTCCCATAACTTCAGACGCTATTGCTGATAAACAGAACCCAGCCATCACTCAATCTACCTTACCTGAGGATGTTGATAAACAACGAGGCCCATCCACTTCTCTGATCATAACTTCAGAGAGAGAAACGAGCGTTTCAATAGTTACAGAAATGGAAAAAAAGAATAGAATTAGCGATTGCAGCTATGGATTAATCACCAAACCTGCAACAAAAAAACTTAGCAAAAACAAAGTATCTCCTTTAGGGTACATCACAGAAATTAAAAATAACACCAAACATTTCAAAGCAGGTAAGACTCGTCGTACACACACTCCTATGAACACTACTAAAGTAAAAACACCTACAACAAAAAGACAGAATAATTACAAAATAGCTGATAATATAATATCAAATTCTGAAAAACCTGTAGAATTAAAATTGAATGAACAACACAAAACAAAACCAACTACACAGGATGTATTAGGACCAATTCGCGATATGCTAATTGATAACGAATACCCCCTCCAATTCAACGAAATATGCTTATTATATGAAACTATACAGACTGAAAAAATATCACCAAAAACAGTAAGCTTAATAAGACAATTCACTGATGACAAAGACGGACTAATAAAGATGCTCACAGACATTAAAGAATCAATAGGAAATAGAAGCATAAAAATATGGAGTACAAAAATATTAAAGATAATGCAGGAAAAAGACACATCGACTAATATAACTTCTTTGGGAACATCTACAGAGGACAGAACCTCTATCGACAAAGAAAACAACACATATGGTGAAAACATTACAGTGGAATTGTAACGGTTACTACCGTCACATAGAATATTTAAAAAAAATAATTTCCGAAGAAAACCCAATATGCTGCTGCTTACAAGAAACTCATCTCAACGAAAAACACTCAGTGAAACTCAAAGACTACAAGATTTATAGAAAAGACAGACACTCTGAAAGAGCGTGGGGAGGAGTCGCAACGTTTGTTTCAGAAAACATACATAGTGAAGAAGTGATACTACAAACCCAGTTCGAAGCATTAGCTGTGAAAATGTATTTTAATCAACATTTGACAGTATGCAATTTATACATACCACCCTCACAAGCATTTTCCAGTGAAGATATTGAAAACATTATCAATCAACTTCCAAAACCCTTTCTTCTGTTGGGAGATTTCAACGCTCACAGCTCTTTATGGGGTTCCTCGCTCCCAGATTTAAACCATAGAGGCAGAACTATTATGAAATTCCTCGAAGAAAATACTTCGACGGTACTATTAAATACAGGAGAAAATACCCACTTCAGTTCAAAAACCAATAGTTTTTCAACAGTAGATTTAAGTTTTTCCGAAGTCAGATACGCACTAAAAGTCCGAAAATGGAAAACAAAAAGCCATCTATACGGTAGTGATCACTACCCAATAGTTATCGACACATCGGAGACAATCAATGACATCCCCTCAAATATTCGATGGAACTACGAAAAGGCAGATTGGGAAACTTTTAGCAAATTAATAACTGATGAATTACAGGCAATAGCAACTTATAGAAAAATAGATGAAAAGGTGAATTTTTTTAGTGAGCTAATTATGAAAGTAGCAACAAAAACAGTTCCTACTATTAAAAACAACACCAAACACCATAGCGTGCCCTGGTGGAATAGACAATGTAGTGATGCTATTAGAGCAAAGAAACAAGCTCTTAATCGGTTCAGAAAAACTAGAACTTTACAAGATGCAATAGCATTCAAAAGACTAAGATCGATAGCTAATAGAATTATCAAATATAGCAAAAAAGAATCTTGGAAACAGTTTGTGTCATCGCTAAATAATCTGACTCCAGTGACCGAAATATGGAATAAGATAAGAACCCTCAGAGGAATCGGGAAACGGCAGAGAATTACTGGATTAGAAGTCAATGGAGAAATTATAACCAACCCTGGAGATATTGCTGAAGGTTTAGCAAAGTATTTCAAGGAAGTTTCTACCTCGAACAATGATCACATCCACAATTATACCTCAGGAATACATGAAAGGTACTGTTCAGTACCAACCGAATTTAAAGGATGTAAAGAACCGTTTCGGATGCAAGAACTAAATTCTGCCTTACAGAAATGCATTGGAAAGTCAGCCCCTGGTTTAGATGGAGTTACTGGCGAATTCTTGAAAAAATTGCCTGAAGATGGTAAACAGCACCTTTTAGAAATCTACAATGAAATATGGAATACCGGTGAATTCCCCTCCTGTTGGAAGCAATCAATCATCGTACCTATCCAAAAAAAAGAAGACAGTATTCAACCAAATGATTACAGACCCATTTCACTTATATCATGCATTTCAAAAACTCTAGAAAGGATGATAAACACCAGACTTATCGATACACTGGAAAGAAGCAATGCCCTCTCTCCACAACAGTTCGGGTTCAGATCAAACCGCTCAACAACTGACCCCCTGCTGTCATTAAGTTTAGAAGCCGAAGAAGCTTTTTTTAACAAAGAACACCTAATTGCAGTATTCTTAGACCTAGAAAAGGCTTACGATAGAATGGCAAGAGGCCGTGTATTAAGAATCTTGGCAAGATTGGGTATTGGAAAGAATATGTGGACATACATCAAGAACTTTTTGACTGGCAGAAAATTTTGTGTACGAGTAGGAAACACTTTCTCCTCCAGTCATTCTTTGGAAAATGGCACTCCACAAGGTTCACCCCTCAGCTCGACACTCTTCCTCGTAGCAATTAACGGTATCACATCCGCTATTCAGAGCCACACTAAATGTTTGCTATTCGCTGATGATATAGTAATCTCAGCGCGTAGCAAATCTTTAGCGTTCATCCAGTGGAAGTTACAAGATACTGTTGAAAAAAGTGGAAAATTGGACGAAGGAAACTGGGTTCAAACTATCAGCTACGAAATCCAAAAGTATCCATTTTTGCAGACAACGAAAATGTCGTGTAGACCCTCATATAAAATTAGGAGACTCCATTATCGAGTATGTAGAAAACTATAAATACTTGGGAATGATACTTGATAAGAAACTGACTTGGGTTCATCATATAAAACACTTAAGAGATGAATGTACAAGAAGAATTGGACTTCTTAAATGCATTGCCCATTCAAGCTGGGGAGCCGATAGAAAGACACTCATCCAAATATATCATAGTGTGATTCGAAGTAAAATTGAATATGGAGCCCAAATATATGGAACAGGTCGCAAAACGTTGCTAAAAATGCTCGATTCCATCCACAATTCGGCTCTTAGAATCTGCACAGGAGCTTTCCGAACTTCTCCAGTCGAAAGTATATATGCCGAATCTGGAGAACCCTCATTAGAGATGAGACGAATGTATTTATCAATGAAATATGTATCCAAATTAAAAGCATGTCCACAACACCCCTTGAGTTCAAAACTATTTGATGAAAGATCTGGTAGGCGAGGACTTCAGGAGATAGAGAAGAGCATATTTAAACAAATGATTTATAAAACGCTATATAATGTGAACATGGATTTGAACACAATTAGACGCATCCCTAACCTCAAAATCCCTAACTGGAAGAACAGTAGACCGACTGTAGATGTATCAATGACAAGACGTAACAAGGAATACCCACTGGATATCCAAAACTACTTTTTTGAATTATTGGAGAAATACGAAGGATATAATGTGATATATACCGACGCCTCCAAAATGGAAAATAGTGTTGGCTGCGCTGTAAATATTAATAAAAACCAACACCAACTTCTGTTTAGCTTACCTGGAGAGAGCTCCATATTTACCGGAGAAGCTACTGCGATCATGGAGGCCCTCCATTGGATATCAAATTCCAATGACAATCAATGGATAATAGCATCAGATTCCAAAAGCGTCATGACAGCAATTGGTAACCCATGGCCAAGCAATTCAATTATAAGAGATATATTGAATCTATGGTGGGAATTAAATGAAAGAACGGTCAGAGTGATATTTGTCTGGGTTCCATCTCATTGTGGCATCACAGGCAATGAAAGAGCAGACCGAGCAGCTAACTTAGCAAGGAAGGGAGAGGTACCAGCCACAATTTCAATAGATTGTACCACAGTGGAGGACTGGGTTCACGCAACAAAAAAGAAGTTATTGGAAAATTGGGTAAATAGATGGAAAACTGAAAAGTCAAAATTATTAGAAATAAAAAGAGACTGCAACAAGTGGGCTACTAGCACCAGAATATCCAGAAGAGAAGAAACCATATTGTGTAGAATAAGAATTGGTCACTGCCTGTTTACCCACGGGTACCTTCTTAGAGGTCTAGAACCACCCACGTGCGAAAAGTGTGACAATAAATCGCAGTCAGTAAAACACCTGTTAGTAGAGTGCCACGAGTTCAACGACATTCGGCAAAAATTGAAACTTCCAACAACAATAAAAGAGATACTGAGAGACAACGAAGATGGAGTCACCACCCTACTGCGATACTTAATAGAGACGAAACACTACAATAGAATATAGAAAACTAGCCGCCAATGACCCTCTAGGGTAGAGGCGATTACGAATTAAAAAAAAAAAAAAAAAAAAAAAAAAAAAAAAAGTATTTATTTGAATTTTAGATTATTATTTAATTATTAAATAAAAATACAATAAAATTTAAATAATTATTATTTAATTTTGTATATAAATTTATGGTATTTTGGATATATATATATATATATATATATATATATATATATATATATATATATATATTATATATATATATATATATATATATATATATATATATATATTTAGTTTATCTTTTATGATATTGTCACATTATAAAAAATAATGATATATAGAAAAGTACCAATTCCTTTTAGTTTCAACATAACATACGAATTTTTAATCTGAAACCTACATTCCTAAGTGTTCTAAAATCTTACAAAAAAAAAAAAATAAATAAAATAAATTAAAAAAAACCATCTAATTGTAAATAACAGGTTTACTATTGGTAAAATAAATTTCTTCTAAATTATTTGTCTACCTCTTTTGTAGCTGTAAATAAACTTTTTAGTATATATTTATTTTAGCCCTATGATAAACATTTCAATCCCTTTTTATGGAAACTGGGTTGATAAAAAATAATAAAATGATAAAGTTTTGACTAATGTAATTAATTTTTTTTTATAATTGACAAAAAAATAAAGTATTAGGTACTGGATTTTACAAATTTTTTTAAATTGTTAAAGCTTATAAAAATAATAATAAAATTTAAAAATAATTAAAGACATTGAATGCAATGAACCATTCTTCAAAACCATTGAAAAAGAAAAGATAATTGCAATAATAATAATTAAAGTAACCATATTTTGTTATTATACGCCACGCATACGTCCAAAATAAACTAAATCGACTTTAGAAAATTATTTCTACTTTAATTTTTTTTCTCATTAAATTATATATCTTTTACCATTCAATATATAAATTTAATTTTGTTTCAGACTTGTCCAGAAGAACATTTTGTGAAGAGTAAGTTTATTTCAAATATTCCAATAATTATCTATTCACAATACGTAATAAGCATATATACAATAGAATAAATAATATATATTATGTCCATTTAAATATTTGAATATATAATGTTACACAGATGCCTACTGCAAACGAGTCAAGGAATCCTTAAAAGAATTCGAGGGCTGAACTTACTGTGATCCTGATAACTATATCGAATGGATTCGATGAAGCATCGATTTAATTTTTTGTGATTATTCCCGAAATAAAAAGTTAATGATTACAAATATTTGTTTATTTAAAAATTATTTTATCGATCCATCCAGAGTCAAGAATAATTTGAAAAAAAAATCGATTACCCAATTTAGTTTTAAGGTTTAAAAAACAAATATATATATTACTTTTACTTACGTATATATGTAATATATAGTAAGTGTAAGTATTGCGATCGAGAAAATTTTTGAATCTGAGTCTTCAACGGATTTACACGTTTTGAGGTACCCTGAGTCGAAATGACCAAGTCATGAAAAATGGTCTGTGTGTCTGTATGTTTGTATGTTAGCAGTCTAGTCCTATGAAACTGATATTACGTATTTAAGATAGGTATATGCCTTAAATGTGATAGCAACGTTTTCCTTATAATCGGCTAACCGGAAGTGCCACTTTATATCAACGCTGAAACAAATTTTCTCAAAAACGTCTCAAACGATTTTGATTAAACTCGGTGTATCATTGTATAATTAAATGGTCTTTAATATCAATTAAAGTGGTTTACAAAAGCCCAGCATTGCCAGAAAATAATTTCTATTCAAAGTAGATAGGTAAGTGAAAGTTGTGTGTTACGCGCACCAGATTTTTTTCTGTTGGTATTATAGACCTTGTGTAAATCATTGGTAATTCGAACCAGCCTTCTTCATCTCTATCTTTTTTAAACTTTAATTTCCTATTGGCCATTAAGAGAAGGGGGATTATTCTAGAGGTATAATAAAACCGATTATCAGAGAGGGAAGGCCGAGATTCATTTAAAAAAAAAATTACCTGACGTCTTTGATAAGCTGTGATATTTTTGTAGTTTTATTGATCTATTAAATAAGTTCGAAAGTTTTCCTGAGATTTTATGCAAAGTAGTATGATTCCTTCCCACAGGACAATAACTATCTCCCTATGAAATATATTTAACTGAAACATGAAAATCTGATTAAAGAGTCATAACTCTGCGATGTTAACTAGAGCGGAGTATTAAAAAGTTCATACTATACACAAGATCTACAAGTTTATATAAACAATTGCCCAATTTTCGTTAGAAAAATATGAAATTTAAGATTTGTGTTTTTTTAAGCAAGCCACGTTTTATGTTGAATAGGAAGCGATAGCATAAAACATATTAAATTTAAGAAACTAAAAATTGCTTCATAATAAACTAGACAAAATTTACATTAAACGAAAGTAGAGTTTGTCATTGTTAAAACTATTAAATGAGAACTATTACGCGGACAAACACAGCTAAGTTTCGCTTAAAAAAAGTCATACATTTTTTGTTATTTTATTTATCATCCTTTAACTGTACTGCGCTAACCTCACTTTTACAAAAACTTCCTCGTTTAATAAGCTTTAAGGTCATATTAATTAAGTTAAGATTTCTTAGTAAAATTTTTAAGATTCACCTCAAGTTGTGTAAAGAAATGTGATGTCCTATTCAGTCATCTTAAAGTACATGTATTTTCTGCAAAAAGGACTACAATTAACTTTTTGCAAAGCTTTTATTTCTTGTTTTTTTCCCGTGATATAGGGTGTATTGTAATAAATATAATTGTACAAAAGCACATTATATTTATAAATATAAAAAATTTAAAAATAATAATTTTTTTAATATTTTTCACGTAAAGTGATTATGAAATTTTGTTTTTCTCCCAGAGTATCCATCACAGGAATTGATATGTATTTGTCAGTGACAAATTCAACGTTTCTTACTAAAACTTTCTTTTTTTTTAAAACTGATTACTTCATTTATTTTCATGAAATTCAATTTCATAATAATCCATAGAAATCAGCCTTTCATATATTTTTCATTTTAATTGGATAACTGACCATAACTGAATAACTGGATAACTGAATAAGTGACCTCTGTATTTTTTTAATGAGGCAAAAAGTAACCTTCTCTGAATATGTTCGAAATAAATTTAACCTTGAGAAGCTTTTTGTTAAATATCTGAGAGAACATAAGAGCGATATTGATGGCAGTGAGTGGGACATATTTGGAGACTTTCCACTAAAATCCTTGTTTACAGGTCTATTTATAATTGATTTAGTAATGAATTAGTTATATTAATAAATAATTAATCATATATTAGTCTAAAAAAATATTTTTTTTGATTTCCGGAGTAAAATATGTCTGCTGTTTGTGTTTAAGTTTTAGTAACTTGATTTATTACAGAATCAATTGTATATATTTATTTGCATTTTAAAAATAAGATGTGACTAGTTGGCACGTGCGAATAATTCCCAGAAAACTTTTTTTATTGAAGAAATAGGAAAACAATATGGGAATAAGTAGTTCCTATTTATTATGTAAAGAAGTAATTAATATTTTTTCCTTAGTCGATTAAAATATTCCATTAAACATAATTGACAAAAATATTTATACAAATTGTTTTACTAAGACCTATTTTTAAACGCTGACTGGAAAGATAATAAAAGTAATAAAGAGAGAATAATGCCCCGATCATAGGATTTTCTAAATAATTAAAAAAAATAAAATTTAAAAACAACGAAATTTCTTTAAGAAATAATAAAGTTAATAATCAGCCAGGAAACAGGAACACATTATTAAGTATACCGATACTAATGGACTGTATCTTTGTTAATAATTGTCTGATTTTAACGATTTTTCGTTTTGTTTTGTAGGTAATTTAGTGAATTATTATAGGTACAAATCTCTAAAAAATGCATACTTTTTGAGTTATTCGCAAATAAAGTTTCTTTTCCTTTATAACTTTTTTCACAGAAATTTCGGGAAGATGTGACTATTTTTTTCATATGAAGGAGATGAATATCTTCAAAATGAATGGCCAATCATTGGATTTGATGAAGAATTGACGAAGTTATGGCGCACTGACAAAAAAACACCTTTTAGAAATAATATATAGAATTTTTAGTATACCATGTAAAATATATCGTGAAATTCATCTTTTAATGGGGTAAAAAATATTTCTGATATTAAATTTAATTTTTTTATTAATTAGAAATAAATTCGAACAAAAAATAATTCCTTTGTATTGACTTTGGTACCGCCATACCGGTCATATAGCCCACTGTTTGCGTCGCCATTTTTTTATAAAGCTGTGTACACAACAAAGACTCGAAGAAGAACTATTTGGCCCAAAATAATTATTTAAAAAAACCTACTAAGGACGGTAACAAGATCCTGTTGGCTCAACAAGGAGCTGTGGAAAATATTTATTAATCTGGCAATAATTCCCAGCGAGCGACCTTCGGAAAGCAGAACTAACAAAGACGGTTTGGCCACTGTCATATACTGCCTCACTGCTTCATGAATTTGAAGTGATCATTCGCGAACAATTTGTGTTAAAAAGTAATAAATATGAATAAAATAAAATAATAATAATAATAAATATCATTAATGACTTGAGTTTTCAACATTGTTCGTCTCAGCAGTGTTGCCAGGTAGGGTTTTTTCCCTTCTGGATTTAGACGTTTTTTAACTGTGTGTTTTTTAATATAAAATTTTATGAATATTTCGGATCTTTATTAAGCACTGCCTCACCGGGACGATAAGTTTTGCCTTAATAAATGTTTTCCGTGCACTTTCTTAGTCATTAACAATCCTAATTTCTTGGAGCTTTCTAATTTGTTTTAGTGGTGTAGATGAGAAAAATGGTTCAATAAATACTAAAATTTAAAATAGTATTTTTAATTGTTATACCGACGTTCCGACCGATTTTGTAGGCCTTCTTCAGAGCTTGGCATCAGGCATTGCAGGAAGCAGTTGATAGATCTGATGAAGACCTATAAAGTGGGTCGAAACGTCGCCATAAGAATTAAAAGTACTATTTTTTAAAAATTTATTATTTATTTGACCGCACCCCCCGACCAACTCCTCACATTATTTTTTATCATGTGTCGATTATAACCAGCCAGATTATAATCGACACACGATCCTATAATTCTATCACCTCTCAATTTTCACACGATATTCTTATCACATTTTCCGCAACATACTTGTCCGACTAAGAAAAACGTTCTAGAAATGTGTCAATATTATGAAGGCTGTCTCTCCTCCTCCCCTGTGTTCAATCTAAATAAATACGTCATTTATTCAATCGTATTTTTATTTTGATATTTTAAAGTAGACATAATAAAGAAAAAAAAATTCTTATAAGTATACAAAGATATAAACAAATTAATTTATAAACCAAAAATATTCAACAAGCTGCTTGGACATCATCAATACCAAAATTCAACTCTGCGACAACTGAGCACTTGCCGAAATATCCTCAGTACATAAGGGACTTAATCAAAGAGAAGAGCGCGTAAAATATGGCAGACTGACAGACACCCTTCAGATAGACAGACATTTAACCAACTAAACAATCAACTTAAAAGAGAAATCCAAAAATTTGACAGAACTAACTATGACGCATACATCAGTGGTCTTTCGACTGACGATGGGAGCTTGTGGAAGCATACCAAAAGGTTGTTAAAGCACCGAGAGCTGTCAGCACCACTTAGAAAAGAAGATGGATCCTGGGCCGTGTCGGATGAGGAAAAATCTGAACTCTTCGCTCACCACCTTTCTTCTGTATTTAAACCGTTTACAAACTTCACTAACACAGAACATGAGACTATAGTACTTAACACATTAGACATCCCACTTCAGCTGACACTACCACCTCCTTCTTTTACTCCATCTCAGGTTGCACTTCAAATCAAACAATTACCAAAAAGAAAAGCTCCTGGTTATGACTTAACAGCCGAAGCACTCCAACAAATGCCCAAGAAAGCTCTAGTATTTCTGACAACAATTTATAACTGTATACTAAGGATGTCAAAATTCCCTTTACAATGGAAATACTCACTTATTAAGATGATTCACAAACCCGGTAAAGAAATATACAGTCCTTCATCCTACAGACCCATTAGCTTCCTTCCTATATGCTCTAAAGTTTTTGAAAAATTAATATACAAAAGACTTGTTGACATATTGACTGACCAACAGGTAATATCTGACCACCAATTCGGCTTTCGCACATTCC